AGAGGGAGGGAGGGAGGGAGGGAGAAGAAACAAAAAGACGAGAGAGGGGAGGGAGAAGGAAGGAAGGAGGCTGGTTATTCATTCAGATGGGGCGAGAAAGATTCCCTGTCTTGTTTCCTGTTGCCCTTAACTAACCTGCTAAAAAATCACCAGTGTCTGGATGGGAGTTTTTCATCCTTGGTGATGGGAAGGTCAGTCCCTTTTCACAGCATCAATATGAGGGACAGATGCAAATGGAGCATCATTTAGCTGGCAAGAGCATTTGGAAAGCCACATTTCTGTGACTGAAATGGGCTGCAAAGAAGGCTGTTTGGGTTCCTCTCTGCTTCCTCTGATCAACCACAACTCTGAAAAAACTTCCAGTGGTGTGGCCAGAGAGCGGAGAATAAGGCTTTGCTTTCCGGAAGCACAGCTTAGGAGTTTCAAAATGCAGAGTCATACATGCTGGAAATAACCAAATTCTGCATCGATGTTCGGATTAAGAGAGGGAGGGAATTGCCCCAAGTAGCAGAAGCTGCAGATTGGCGAGTGGAAGAAAACCAAGATGCTCTGGCAAAGTGGGCTTCTAAGCTGGTTTGTTCTGCTCAGGAGAAAGAAATGTTGTCTCCCATTGTTAGCCCAGAACTAAAATGCAGATATTTTGGCCCTTTGAAGCAAAGAGACGTTCATTCCCCCTCGGGTTTCCCTCAAATCCAGGATGATGCATTTGGAAACAAATTAAAATGGGAGCTGGGTGGGAGGAAAAGGGGCTTGCTGGTTCTCTCTCTAGGGAAAGATCAAGCATAGATCTTTCCACGCCGAGCAGGGGTTAGACTTCAGTGCTGTGATATGGTAGGTCTCCCATCAGGTCTACGATCCATCCGTTATTTCTGCTGCTCGGATTAAGCCCCCGACAGGAACGGCTTGAGGCTGGAACCAGATTCCCAGAGGCGCGGAGGTCAGAAGCTCTGGGGGAATGGGAGTGAGACAGCCGCCAGAGTAATCGCTGACCGGGTCTCAGATCCCTGCAAATCCTTCAGGGGCCTCCCTCAAGCTTCAAGGATTGGCAGGGCCCTCCATCTCTTCCCAGGGCTGCAAAGACCGTCTGCTGACGATGGCCTCCGGTTCCAGAGCCTTTCGTTCGAATTGCAACCAGGTGAGAAACGACTCGAAACAGAAGTCATGATGGCGTTGTGTCTTCCTCGAGAGAAATTTAGCAGGGAGGGGAGCCAAGGGAGACGGTCCGCTGGAAAAAAAAAAAAGGGGGGGAGCCCCTGCTTATGGCTCAACCTGACCCCCCATTCTGAGGGTCTTCCCTGTCCAAGGAATTGGGGCTATGAAAATTGGGGCTATGAGAAACAGAAGCTAGTTGGGATGGAAAGTTTAAACACTATGTTCTGGACCTGATCCTTTGGGCCGAGGTGCTGTTCCAGTAAATTAAATGCTCTGAGTAAAATTCCTACTGACTTCACCAATGCATCTATTTAACGTTCAAGAGAGCAATCCAGAAGCCATTTCATGGTGTTTTCTCAAATCCCCAGCCGAGCCTGCAAGACCAAAGATTTCCTGGTGGTCTCCTATCCAAGCTTGTCTAATTCTAAGCCCAGATCACATCCACCAGATGCGATCCCCTGCAGAAGTAACTCAGGTCCTTCCATGCCACCCTGCCTAGCTTTTCCAACAACGTTTTGCAGAAACCAGGT